TCATGATGCTCAGGCAAAAGCTGAGATTCAACTGTAAAGAGTGTGATATTACAACCTGGATCAAGATATTTGCAAAAGGAATTAACCTCACCCTAACCACACCTGGTAAGGACAGTTTGCACTGTTACCCCAAGAGTGAAAGACTGACAGATGTTCTTTTATATTTTTATTTTTTGATACTGGGAATCAAACTTGGAACTTTGAGCTTGCCAGACTGATACTTGTACTGTGGAGCTATACTGCTAGCCCACATTTAAAAAACAACTTGCTGTTGCAGTAACAGATGTTCTTGAGAAAACAGTGATTTACCATCAACTTTATCTGAGCCTGACACATTCTTAGCTTCAGAGCATGCTCTGCTTATCAGTCATCCCTGAATGCTGTCACTTTGGACCAGCTTGGGAAATCTTCTGCCAAGGGCAGCTGGACTCCAAAAACAAATTGCTTCATATTCAGTGCAGATGTCTGTCCTTCATGTGTATGAATCACAAAACATCTATCCATCCCATGGAATATTATTTGTCAAGTGCTCAAATATATGATTATTATCATTGGTTCTTTTTCAAATTGAAGAAATGTTAAATAACTACAAACTGCACTGTAGGCCAAGAATTGACTTTATACATAAAAAGTTGTTAAAGGAGATTTAGAAGATTCTGGCAAATTCTGAGAAAGGAGAGAGCCAGGCTTTCAAACATATGTGATACAAGAGGACTGTAATACCAAAACTCCCTAGGTAGCTTGGGGCTTAAATTCCTTAAGTTTCTGATCATACTTAGATAAATTTGATTGTATTTGAGTTTATTTTTTAACATCAGAAGTGAAAAATTTTGATATTAAAAAAACAGACAGAATTTTGAAACGAGTGCAGACGAAACATTTCATAAAAGCTTTTAAGCAGCACTTAAATGAAGGGCATGATCATCCATTTTTGGTCCCGGCACAAAACCCCAGATAAGCTTCCTTTACAATCTGCCAGGTGCAGTGGGGAGGAGGAGAGGACTGCTGGTGCCCTGGACCGGCTCAAGTTCTTAGAATGGCACCGGGTTTGGTCCCTCAGCAAGCTGAGGACCTCTGTAGAGGTCAAGTGACTTAGCCCTGGTCCTAAGGGGCAGCGCTCCCCCTAACCTGGCAGGAGGACACCAGCACAGTTTAGAGCCCCCAGGATCTGTAGGGAGAGGATCTCTGCTGTAAAGATCTCATAAATTAGTTTGCATTCTGTACTTTGTTTGCTTGATTCTAAAAATAGTGGAGAAAACGGCACAACTGCTGAAGTTATCAGTTGGTCACAGAAAAAATTAAGTGTTTGGTTACTTTGACCCTAGGATGCTTCATATCAAGGGTCAAAACATTTCTTTTTGTGACTATATTCAAGAATGACAAAAGATTCATTTTTGTTTTTTTAAATTCAAATCAACAGTTCATTCACTTTATCCATTTTTAAATTACCCTTTAAAGATGCAGCTTTGCTTGAATGAGAGAGAACATTTCATCCAAGGGATGATTGCTTTGCTTTGGATCCAGTAAAATTGAAATTTTCAGAGATATTTTTCATTAAGTTGATACAGCACTGAAAGATGGAAATGAATTTTTTAAAAATTTCTTTAGTGGGTAAGATAATATGAACACATTAACTTATAAACTGAAAACTAAGTTCGATCTTTTCTAAAGTATTCAATTGTAGCAATAAAATTAATCGTGACACATATAATTCATAAATTCTGGAAAATAATTTTTAGGAGTACAGGGATAGATATAGTTTTGATTCTAAAAGATGATATTTGGGCTATGACTTTCTATTACCTATTCTTTAACAAGTAAATTTAGAGTCAACAGTGATTACTGTGTTAAAATATTTAGAGTTCTTGATAATTTTTTTTTTTTTTTTTTAAACCAGGGATTGAACCCAGGCCCTTGCGCTTGCCAGGGAGGCGCTTACTCTACGGAGTCAGGCCCTCCCGCCTGCCAGGCCGGGGCTTGTGCTGCTGTGCTGTCTCCCTAGCCCCTTTGCTAATCATTTAAAAAATGTAAAATACATGGAAAAAATTTAAAACCTTAAATTCATGTTGTCACTTATACCCATTATAAATTTGTTAGATTTTCATTCAAACAGTTTATCTATGTATCTTTGATTATTCATTAAAAAAATTTAAGAACACTTTAGGTATACAATAAGGAATCTCGCTGATTTGTATTTAACACTATTACATGGACATTCTTCTTCTCAGATGTCCTTAAAGTTATTCAATAATCGAGAAAGTTTTAGATTTTCTTATTTCTAGTTATGTGTTTAATAAAAATGTGATCTATATGGATTAATTGAAATTAAATTTGGAAATTACCTATCCTAATGGCTGGTAGTTGGTAGGAGATGGGATAGTAATTCTTTTCTACAATTCAAATTACCACTCACTACAGACCTATATGAATTCAGGAATAGAGATAAATTTATTAAACACCATGTAATCTAGAGTTCATATTAATGCAAATGGTCAGTATGTGCAACTTGCTTTTTATTTTTAAGTAATTGCTTCAAAATGTGATTCGCGAGTAATACGCATGACTTTACAATATTATAGACCTGAATACAATGTGATTCTTCATTTCCCTAGGGGCACCAATTTTTAAAAATTAAATATATTTTTGGGCCAGAGAGATAGCTTGGAAGTCTAAGCGCCTGCCTGGCAAGTGCAAGGACCCGAGTCCAATCCCCAGTACTGCATGCCCTGCTGGCCCAGTACCCAGCCAATCATCAAAACTGGGCGTGGTAGGGTGGGCCAAATAGCTCAGCGGATCAAAGCGCAGGCAAATAGGCACCCCCGGGGTGTGCTGAGACAGCAACTAAGACGGGGCGTGGTGGTGCGTCTCTGTAATCCCAGCTCTTGGGAGGCTGTAAACAGGTGGATCTAGTACTGAGACCTTGAACACCCTGTAGACCCTTCCTTTAAAAAAAAAAAAAAAAAAGCAAAAAACTGGGCACGGTGGCACAAGCCTGTAATCCCAGCATGTGGGAGGCTGAGACAGGAGGATCAATGTGAGTCTGAGCTACATAGTGAGACCCTGTACCAAATAAATCAATAAATAAATAAATAAATTTTAAAAATTAAATATATTTTCTTTTATCTTGTGTATATAAACTTTCAGACATAGCTAACAGACAAATACCTGCCTATAATAATCTTTTAAATTAATATGTTTAGATAATTAAAATTACTATTATTATTATATTTTATTTTTTTGCAGAACCGGTGATTGAACTCAGGCCCTTGCACTTGCCAGAGAAGTACTTATTCCACTGAGCCATCTCCCCGGCTCAATTAAAATTATTTTTTTAAAAAATATCAACTCAAATTATTGCCTTTTCCCCCTTAAATTTCATTAGACAATTTTCCCAAGCTTCACCTGCATCTACACTTGATCTTAGCCAAAAGGCAGAAAGTGATTCACCTTTATTGAAGCCATCACCCTAAGAGAGGCTTTCTAAGTCACTCAAGTCAGAGCATCCATTGGGAATCCCTGTATGGTATTTGGTGTCACTGGATATTTTAACTCTAAAACCAATTATCTAGATATATAACAAAAGAAAAGCATTTTTTATTAATTAATTATCATTCCACATAAGTATGAACTAAGTATAAATTACTTGAGACCAAGTAATAATTACCTAAGCCATGTTAAAATTCCTTTGATAATTTCTTATTTCGATGCTATGTTCAAATACCATTATTAACTGGGTATGTTTTAGGCTGATGTGTACCCAAGTTGCATTTTTAGATCAGAGTGCTGGAAAAACATCTTTTCATGAGGGGCTACACACAGAGTGTGTCAGGAAGCAACTGCGGCATCATACGGGATAATTTAAGGAAAGAAATCTTCATAATAAGGTCCTACACTCTCAGTCTATCTAAATTCATGTCTCTGATTACCACAAAGTTAGAATTTATGAACAGATTTTCTATCCCCTGGGCCTTATCTGAACTACATTTTACAAAAAAAAAAATGAACACCAGACACAAAAGACAAACCTGCTAAAAGGTGCACACTGTGGATCATTAATGAACCCTTTTTGAGAATATTTGAAAAGGCATAAAATAAAATATATAAGTGCACTCAGAGCATGAAATAAGAACAAAAGGCAAAAACTGTCAGGAAAGCGGAAGACAGCACACGTGATAAGTCTATTAAGAAAATCACATAGTAAAATTTCTTGCTGAAAAATGCAAGAAAAATGCAGTAGAATACAAACTTTTGATCATCTGATAAATGGTAACAAGCTTTCATATATATTTTTCATCCAAAAATTAGAAAACAAATTCAAAGAGATAAGTAAAGTGTGGAGTGGACATTATCTTCAACATTCATCTAGGAAAGTGAGAAAATGGTCTCTAAGCAAACTCAATTCACAGCACGATGGCATCAGTGCTGTGGGTCTATGTCCAATGTCGTACGTGGATGGGGGCTTCAGCACATAGGGTCATATAAATAACGTTGAAAGATCTAAGACATCTTTGAGAACCAGGTCTCCTGCAATTGATCTAATCATTCTGCCTAGGAAAGACTGAGATGGGAACTGCAAGCTTGGCTTCCGCATGAGCTGACAGAGTGCTGAACCTTTCTGGTGAAAGGTTGGAACTCACATGGGTTATGCTGCTAATTTGGAAAGAGCCATGGCTCTGAACTGCATGGGTAAAGTATTTCCACAGCCCTATTCTCATGGTGGCTCCAGTAGGGCTTCCTTTGATTATCTTAATGTGCAGAAAGGTAGGAGAGAGCCTGTTAAAACTTGCCTATGTAGAAGACTTATTTCTTGGGATGGTTTTGAGAATTCCAGGAAAATGAGAGTAACCCCAGCTGCTAACTCAGGACAGGTGAACATGCCTCCTACCTTCGGTGCTGTGAATCTAACTGCAATTCAGAATGTGGAGATTTCTAAGTAAAAGTGAGGTTTGTTCTATGAGATTAGAATGCTGGGTTGGACCAGTCAGGGTAAACTGTTAGTCATGACAGTGAGAATAGCAGTGTCCTCTAGTGTTCCATCAGTATTGTTAATCAAATTGCTCTTTACACCTTGTTTCACTCTGGTGTTACTTGGGAGTCAGTAGTGATGTTGAAATGATTTGTTCTAACATTCTTTTAAGACAAATAAAGTACAAAATCTTCAAATTTGGCCAGTGTATGCACTGGTACTGACCTGTGGATGAGTAAAATGGACCAGGACTGGAATCTTGGTGTTTACAGAACTCCAGGTAACTGTTTCCCCAGGATGGGAAGGACTCAGGGTTGCTAAACTATTTTCCAGTTTTTGATATGGGTTCAATCACTGTGGAATTATGCTAAGAAAGTCTTCGGTGGAGGAACAAAACTTGTTCTCATAGGTGAGTAACTGGAAAAGATATTTCCAAAGTGGTAGAGGGAAGAAAAAACTTGACTTTTTTGGAATTACAGCAGCATGTTTAGGAAAAAAAAGAGGAATTTGAAGGAAATTTGATGTACAGATCTTAGAGATTTTGATGCAAATGTACATATTGAAGGAAATTGTAGACAATGCTATACAAGCGAACATTAGGGTCTGGTTGTATGGTCATGTGAACTTCTATAAAGGGCTCACAGACAACATGTATAGCGATACCACTGCAATGTCTGATCCCTGGACAAAGTTCGCTATTTGATGTCTGCAGTAGATTCCTAAAGCAGACTCCCTCCCTTTTCTCACGGCCATGTGTGTTGCGAGTCTGAGTTTGCAGAGAGGCAGGGCTGGAACCCTGCCACCTGGACCACAGGCAGTTTAGAGCATGTGGGTCACCATTGAGATTTCTCAACTTGTTGTGAATCGAGGGCACATAACAATTGAGTGGACTACTGTGAACAAAGTTCTTGTAATGATGTCCAACATACAATAGGTGTCTGAAAAATGTTCTAATTGAAACATAGAGTGAATGTTTTATCCAATCTAGAGGACAGTTTTCAGCAAATGAATGTATAAAGAGGAAATTCTCTTTAGGATTCAGTTATCATTTTGGCTGCTCAAATGAAAGTTAATTTTAACATTTAGTTACACATAAAGAAATGGAAATCTGGACATACATGTTTCTCCTTGGAAGTTTTCCATCAGTTGGCAAAGAAAAAAAAATGAAACGATAAGATATATTTTTACAAATGGTCTTATTCTATATGCTATAAATCTCTATTCTTTATCTTAACTCTAAAACTAATGTTGATTGTCCTAAAATTTTTAGTCAATAAAATTAAGCATATCACTATATTATTCAGAAGAAAAAGCTATAAATTCAAACAGAAAATGTTCAAGTTAGAAAATCAATTAAATATAGGTGGAAACTAGGCATAAATTTGAACTACAGTGGGGGATATAGCTCAGTGGCACAGTGCCTGCCAGGCAAGTTCCTGAGTTTCATTTCTGGTATTGAAAAAAATCTGAAATATATATTTAAATACAAAATAGCTATAAGTATTTGGTAAAAGAAAAAACAAAACATAGGGCACACAAATTTTCATATGTAGTTTTGGAATGTCATACCTTCCTTCAAGAAAAACATGCCACTGATATTCGGTAAAGTTAAACAGAGTCTAAGTCTCTGTGTGTTAAAATACAAAGTTAGGGAAATTAACTCAGAACATATTGTGTAAGTAAATGAATGGACAGAGATGAGTCAGATAGGCATCCAATTTTATTTTAAATAAATAAAATCTAGGGTCGCTATTCTATTCATCATTGAAATGAGAGAATAGATGGCACTGTATACATCACAGAACAAACTTACCACAAAAAGCATTCTTAGTATAATATTTACAAGTCATGTTTGAGAAGACAATGCTGTATAAAAATCCAGAATGTAAGTACTAATCATATAAATCAAGCACACTAATGCTTAGCTAACTGTTTCAATGAGAACATTATGGAAGATCAAGAGTTATATTTTTCTCCAAAGTATGATACTTAAAAGATTATTTCTATGGAAAACAGACAAGAGGCAATGAAGAGTATACTACTGCACAGAAATACTTTCCAGTTCATCAATTGATTTTGGGTTTTTTAAATAATGAAAATAAAGCATTTGTGAAGAAATGTCTTCCTACATTAAAATTAGATTTAATATATTTACAGGCTAAAATTACACAAAACACAAATGAAAATTTAGTCCTTTTACGACATGGTTTTGAACTACAAATATTATATATAGCTGGAGAAATATAGACTTATTATTTGCATTAAAAGCAAGATGCAAATAAAATAAGCACATTACAACCAATTATCTTTATTAATGATCAGAAATATCCACAATGTACACTTATTCTATAAAACAAAAACCATGGGAGCTTTGCTGAAATAGGCAGAGAGCCTCAAAAACTTTTGCCCTTTCTTCTCAAATGAGAAACTCAATTCTTCTTTTCTCAAACATGTATCCACTGAATTCTTAAAATAACTTCAAATTAGTATTAAGAAAATATTGACAAAGCATGTGAATGTCTGTTGCATATCAAATTAGAAAACTTCAAACATTTATAATAAATCATTAGATTAAAAATGTGTAACCTAATGTAATGCCAGATACATGCGATGCAATTTTAAACACTGGTGAAGCTTTGTCTTATAGTTTGACTTTGTGTGTGCAACAAACTCTTGAACCAAACTTTTAACATTGATCCAGTTATACATACATTTCATTTAATGGGTTAGGGAAAGAAAATAAAAGAAGTCCCAAAATACAGCGCAGTCATGGGATAGATATTAATTTTGGGATGGTCAAAGTATGTATATGCAGCCCTGTGTACATCCTCTCCCTGCATAAGTGCCTGCCTAGCAAGCACAAGGTCGTGACTTTGATCCCCAGTATCCCCCCAACAAAAAGTGAGATTTTTGTGTAATAATAGAGATTACCTAGGACTTCAGAACTGGATATGGGATCTACATTTGGAGTTCAGAGATCAACCTGGTAGATTGTTAGCACATGAAGAGGCAAATTCTCATTAAAACAAATGACAGAGTGTTATTCTAGACAAAAAGAAACACCTACTTTTGGACATTTATTGCTATGAAATTAGATAAATTGGGGACATCCTAGGATCAGCTAAGTGAAGAGTGGATTGAACAGAACTGCAGAGCAGGAGGGTGTGAGTTACCTGGTCAAAGAGGACAGATGACGAAGCATGGGAAAGAGGAATTCTTTGTAAGGAAGCCTCCTCAGGACAGAGGTCATCAAGACTACCCATCCTCTTCCTGTATCCTGATATCCACCGTGAAAACAAAGGAGAAAATGAAGGAGATGCACAAATTTAGATAGGTTCATGAAGACTGGAAGCCTTGGTTATGAACAGTCAAACCTCATACATCTTAGTATGTGGAGAAAGGACAAAGGGCAGGTTTGCTTCAGGCTCTGCCACTTCATAGCAGTAACTTTTTGCAAGTTGCTCAAGCCCTCACACCTTTTTGTACATCTAAAAGGAGAATAACTGCACCCTTGCAATCCATTGGGGTGAAAGGTCACAGGGGGCAAACGATCAGCATCGCCCTGTCTCCCTATGGCTGTGCTTGAGGCTTTTCCAAATCATTCATTATTAAATCATTCATTATTTACATTTTTCTAATAATTCTCTTTATTGATGTTCCTTTTCTCCACAGATAAAAGTTACGGGGACATTTCCCCCAAGCCCACAATTTTTCTTCCTTCAGTTGCTGAAATAAATCTCCATAAGGCTGGGACCTATCTTTGTCTTCTGGAGAAATTTTTCCCTGATATTATTAAGGTATACTGGAAAGAAGAGGATGGGAATACGATTCTTAAATCCCAGCAAGGAGACACCATGAAGATGAAGGACACTTACTTGAAGCTTAGCTGGCTAACGGTGACCGGAGCTTCAATGGATAAAGAGCACAAATGCATTGTCAAACATGAGAAAAATCAAGGAAGGGTAGATCAAGAGATTCGTTTTCTTCCAGTGAACAAAGGCATGTGTCTATAAGTATAACCAAACTTATTTGAAAGGGAATACTCTACCTTTTCTATCAAAAACTAATGAAAAAGATACTATTCTTAAATTGTATTACATTTAATGGGAGCATAAATGTCCCACTAGTTTACTCACAGAAGGATAAACAGCAGAGGCTTTAGTGAAAATAAACTGAATATTTTACATAAACCTTTGCAGCTTCAGTTTCAGCATCTTGAATATTAAGATCATTGAAGTTTTTAATAGCTATCATGTGGACTGTTCAGTACAACATTTGTGATGGGACCTAGCAGTACAGGACTTCGTAAACACTGAAACAGAGTTTTTCATTTTCAATGATTTAGTTGACTTAGAAAAAAGAATACTTTCGTGTCTTGACAAGCATATGTACTCGGTCCTACAACACACAAAATTTAATCTGTAAATAGTCAATTTTTTTAACAAAATGGTGCTCAGTAGAGTACAAACTCAGTTCAACAGAATAATGATGACCGCTGCAATTTTATGGTGGTGTTGAATTTTTCTGATTTTTTAAAGCAGTGTTAGACAAGATTTCCTAAGTTAGGTGTGTGTGAGGTCAATGTATATTAAATTTTCCTTTCTCCCTGATGAATACTATTCTTGCCGCTACTAACTGCAGAAGCACATTTACTGTCCTACCAGTCTTCGCCAGATCTATCTGGGAATGTGGACAGTCTAGGATTTTGTGGCCTGGGGTAGATATATTGAAGTGAAGAGAGAATGATTTTTTCCTACCCATTCAAGAATGCATTACTGACATACAGTTAACTTCTAAGATTTTAGCTAATGTGAGTTGTGCTGCTATAAACAGGAACATGCATGCTATCTTTGTAACATGATGTCTTGAACTCAGGAAGTTATTTAGCAGGTGAATAGCTAGATCAAATAGAATGTTTAGTTTCAGGGTTTTGAGGAATCTTCATGCTGATTGCCATAATCATTGTACCACTTTACAAAACCATTAACAATGTAGGATTCCTTTTTCCTCCAGCATTTCTTGTTATTTGATTATTTCTTCTTTCTCTTCCTCTTCCTCTTCTTCTTCCCCTTCCCCTTCTCCTTCTTCCTCTTCCTCCTTCTCATCCTCCTCTTCTTTGTCCTCTTCCTCCTTTTCCTCCTCGTCCTCCTCATCATCCTTCTCCTTGTCCTCCTCATCCTCCTCATCCTCCTCGTCCTCGTCCTCCTTCTCCTCCTCCTCCTTTTCTTCTTCTTTTCATGTATTTAGTAGAGGGTCTCCAGGGTCTTACTACATAGGTCAGACTCGTGGTGATCCTCCTGTTTTCAGCCTCCAGGCGTTGGGAATACAGCGCCACCACGCCGTCTCAATCATGGTCTCAGTGTGCCCCAGAGGTGGAGCTTGCATGGCTTTTAGTGCTGGGGATCAAACCCTAACCCCTGTGCTCTACCTAAGCAAGTGCTTTAGTCTGCTGAACTATCTGGCTGGCCCTTTTGTTTTTTGATTTCTTAATGAAAGCCATGATTTTCTGGAATCTTAGTATTTTAATTTTCATTTCTCTAATGGCAAGAGATGATGCACATTTTTCCTTATATTATTGGCAAATACGTACTAATAAACAATTAAAATTAAAAAGAATCAGACCCATTTCCAAAAGGAATCTCAAAGAAACAGAAAGGAAGCAGTATCAAGGGACAAGTTTAACATGAAGAATGTGCCTAAGTATCTTTCCTGAAAGGATTTTTATAGCGACAGGAAAAAAAAAAAAAAAAAAACAAAAAAAAACAAAAAACAAAAAACAACTAGAAAGAATACTCAGTTCCATAGTAGCGAGTGTTATGTCAGAGAGAGGCTCTACTTTAAGAAGGTCCTGATGCTATCTTTTGGGGGCTTCTATTGACAACAAAGCTGACAAAGGTATTTCCATTAATGTGACCAATACAAGTTTCTAATGCCACTTCCTGTGTTTGTTTTGCTTTGTTTTTGATAAAAAGTAAAAAGTAACACATGAAACCACAAATAAATCAAGTGATTCTGAAGGGAGTTAAAACTAACTTGAGAACAAGATTTTCCTGTGTACCAGAATAATATATAGGATACAAAATTACAGACTGAGAGCAATTATTTCTGCAAGAGCAGAGATTATATTTTTAATGACTATTTCTCTGGTCCTTTTGTTGATAGATTTTATGTAGATAGTCAAATAGTGGCATGAATAATTGACCCCGTTTGCTCTTATTTCTTTTAGTTACCACTATTATTCCCAGAGAACCTCATTTGAAAGATAAAACTGGTAAGTTTGCTTCATTTAGCCTTATTATGCTACTATATCTTTCTGGTCATCTCCTCTTTGGAATTTGAGTTAAGGTAGAAAAATCAGAATGACTGAGGGATATTTTAAAATTAATGCCTATCTTCTTTGGCATCATGTTAACACAGTAAACTACTATCTTGGCATCAAAATAATATGAGAGGATATGTTCTGAACTATTTCAACCAATGAACTGCATTCACCCCTGAGTCTACTCTTCCTACTTCCTGGGCATAATAGGAGTTATTCTAGCTTTGTCTTTAATTGATCATAAATACAACTCTCACCTCAAGTTCTATTCAGTGAGCCTAAAGTGTGACTTGGCTTATCTACTTCCTGTGAAAATGACACTGGCACTGAAATACTCAGCTGCTACAATAAAAAGTGGTTAATGGCTACAAGCAATAAAAATACTAGTGGATATTTAGTTTACAGCAGTAGAACTATATTCTATCTTGTAATCGCTCACACTACCCTTTGAACACAGAAATTGAAATTCCATGGGTATGGTTTACCTTACCCTTGTTTTTCTCCTCAGCAACATGGAACCACCCAAAACCCATCTCTAAGTCTTGTTAAGGAATTAAACAAGGTGACCTAAAAGATACAACACAGTGTCTGGCCCAGCAATGTGCGTTCCACTGATGTTAGTGTCTGTTAATATCAATGGAGTATCTCTCCTGTGTTTGTCAGAAGATTTTACACACAACAACCACACACACACACACACACACACACACACACACACACACACAGAGTGCCAAATAATAGGTGGGAATAACTGAAAAGAACCTGTTCTCCTATCTTCTAGCTAGGAATACTACTGAAACAGAAGTTTGCATGAAAGACGGAAATGGTAAGTTTTATTGTCTACCCTCCTTTATGCTGTGCTTCAGCATTTTTTTCTCTCTTAATTGTCTTAACTTGAACTGCTACAGCTTAAGTGAAAAAAATCACAATGGCTAGATGCTTCAGGATAAATTGGATGACACTTTACATTTTTGCATCACTTCCTAGGCATCCTATTAACACTGTAAACTGCTAACCTGGGGATGCTATGACTTCAAGAAGAGGATACAAAGATATGCTCTGAACAATTTCAAAAACTATTTTAACTGCACTATTTCAACAAATGAACTTCACTCATTCATGTATCTTTTGCTTCTAATGACTTGAAAGAACAAGTTAGTTCTCGGTGTTTAAAAGTTGTCAGTTGCTAGTCCTGTGAGTTGCACTTACCAAGTACTTTTTTATATAACGACTTGGGCTGTGTCCTCTCTGGATCTTCCTGGTTAACCTCGTTTTCCTGTCTCATGGAACAATAGTTGCCACCCTGTTACAGATGAGCATAATGAGCTCCAACGAAGTCCCTTTTATGTGCTACATTGCTAGACTCGAAGTTTCCACTCAGGCCCTCAAGAGTTCATATCCTTCATTATTCCTTCTTTGTTCTTCCTCTATGAAGGAGTTGTAGAGCAAGAAATACCAAGGCTAAGCCTCCAAAGCAGGATGGACATGTGGCAGGTTGTAGGTGCCAAGAATTTTGAGCCCCATAGACTGGGTGCAGCTCAGGTTTCTTAATATGCAGCTGTAGGAACATGAAGGGAGGTCATGTGTGAGAACTCCACAACTGCTCAGCTACTGAGGAAACAAGGGCCTGGCCAGCACAGGATATCCATTAAGCTAGCTCAGGATAAGACCCAGTTTCTAGGCTTTCCTTTTTACATATTCCAAAAGAATAGAAATTGAAGCATTGACTTCCCCCTGCCACCTTTTCATCAGATTCCAGTATCCAAAGGACTCCGGACTTCAGCTGCTACCCAAGGCAGTGGGGAAGGCAGTAAATGCCACCTGACAAAGGGGAGGGGGTTAGGACCCACATTCATTGAGGACCCTTTCTACACCAAAGGCTAATGATTGGAATTCTGACTCTACGAAGATGGATGATGTAAAGTGATCATTTCCCCAGACAGATACTTGGCCTCGTGACTCAGGGCATCACAGTGAGCCCACTGTCACAGTCTTTGATTATGGACATCATGTGTCTCTTGTACAACTTCAAAGGTTATCAGCTGCTGTTACCCAGACAAGGGAGTGAGCCACAAACACTGAACATCTTATTAACCCCTTTTATCACGTTTTCTCTAATGCCCTCTTCTGCAATCTCCCACCCATTGTGTGGGGAACACCACCGAATTCCCATGGGCTGTACCTTGCTACAGATCCCACTGCCCAGTTGTGTAATGGTTCAGTTTTTAGTCACCGAATCAACTCTCAGGCTTAAACTTCTGATACTTTGTGCCTCTTCTGTACCCTCAGTCCCTCTGCAATATAGGAATAAAAACGATTTGTCTCTCCCATGGGTGGTTATGTAGATTAAATGAGATTTAAATACTTACATCAAAGCTTTCAGCATCCTATTTCCAAATGCCAGATGGTATAGTACTAGCAACAGTACTAGTATACTATTAGTTCATTAGTGGTTAATGACATGAATCTATAATTACTGCTTAGAGATACTGAAGCCCCCCCCCAAATCCTCCAGCCTATTTTCACAAAAGCTCCTACTGATCTCCATTAAAACTAAAGCCTTAAGTTTTTAGTATTAAAAAAAGTTCTAAATGAATTTAGCTTAAGTTGTTCCAGCTGAGTTGCAAGTGAACCTTACTCTTGGTGATCACTAGCCTTCGGATGTGAGGCGTTATGCCACTTCAGTGCATGTCATCAGAAATCAACACCTATGACCCCTACCTATGGTGTCCTGTGCTGTCACATGTGCAGCTGAAACTCAAGACCTGCCTTCTCTTAGGTTTGCTGGACTTGCAGCTCACCAGCACCTCTGCCTACTACACCTATCTCCAGCTGCTCCTCAAGAGCGCTCTCCAGGGGGTCCTCCTCACCTACTGGCTATACAGAAGACGCACTGTCTGCCGTGATGGGAAGAGCACCCAACAGAAGGCAGCATGCAGCGCCATGGCATCTCCAGTGTTTGCTGTCACCAGCAGCACTTGCTGAGGATCTGCCACGCCTGTTGGGCACAGCTCCTGAAGGCTATGTGCACTCTATTTTGTCATTATCGCCTAAGAGTTTCCCAAGCAGTGGGTAAAAACTGTAGCTCTGTCATGTGGTGCAGCCCACGGCACCCTGAGCCCCATTCTATGGTCCCTACACCCACTCCAGCCAGCCAGGTTCTCAGAGCCTCAATGTGCACAGCTTGCTGCCTATGGTCAGTACCACAGAGCCTGTGGCCCGGGTCATCCCCTAGAAGCCTCCACGCTACCCATCCTGACTCAGCCTCCGTGGTACTGATCTCTGCTTCGTCCATAGTAGACACAATAAATAAAAAGTCTTCTAAGTCTTCTTTGGGCCATGTGTGGTTTAATTTGACAAAATGGAATTGACACTGTAATCTGAGGAAGAGCATGACAAAAGAGCAACACCACATTTCTAGTTGTTACAGTGGCTCCAAAGATGAAGATGCCCATGTTACTGGTCTTTTAAAGGTCAACACATTTGGATCCAATTGGTAAAAGACTCTCCACACCAATAGGAAACTCTCTAATGTTAATGGTATTGTGTGCTCAGCTGTATAGCAGCATTTCATAGCACTGTGTTTCCTGCTTCTCACAACATCCTCGAGATCTGCATTAATCTTCTAGGTTCAGTGTGATGGAAGTGGTGAGCGCATGAACCCCGGACCCAAAGGACCTGGGCTTCAGTACTGGGTCTAGAATTTAGTATCTGGATGACATCAGTTACTTGAATTCTCTGTGCACTAACTTCTTCCCTGGAGAAAAAGTTAGCACACCCTGACTCCTGGAGTAGGGTGGATCAGATGAGCTAATCATGCTTGTGTAGTTATGTCCTTAATAGCACTGGTGTGTGCACCATGCTACTGTAGAGCTAGTGAACACCACACTGTCACACACGCAAAGCACCAACAATGCTCTTACTTCTGTGCAGAAGGGATGGGTGGGCTGGAACAGGGACTTAGCTCTACTGTACCAGGCTACCCATGATGCCCCATGAGCCCTCTGGGTTATGGCCCACTGTTTATGGATGGGGAAAAGTTACTGACTAAGGTCACTCGCTATGCATTTAAATCCAAGTCTCTCTGAACTCAAACTCTGTGCTTGTGTGGATGTGTGCACATCATTTATCTAATAGTGTCTTCCTTTCAGACATTTTTAACTGGGAGAAGAACAAACAACAAGCATGTACTGCACGCTTGCCTGTGTCATCCTCTAGTGACTCAGGGTCTTTACAAATTTGTGAGTGCATCTCCTCAAAGGGACTCTAGGCCACTGGTCTGTCACTTCCCCACTGTCTTGCTTTCTTGATAATTGCTCTCCATGGTGCGAGTAGAATAGAAAGTCTGCCTTCTGCTGTGAGTGTCCTTGTTGCACCACTGTCCATTTATGGAGAGCTGCAATGGACAGTGGCCCTCATGCCCAGTGGGCCTTTCACAATGCTCTCGGGTGTGGATGTGGGGTCAGTTCCCTGGCTCCTTGGTTTGACTCTACACCATCTGTTCTTCCTTTTCTAAACTGACACATGAAAACTGTCCAGTCTTGGGATTGCATCTAATACAGCACATACATACAACAGGTAATGCTTAAATCAGTATGAGCATGTCTGTCTCAACTAATCCACTTCTTTGTGATTAAAAACAGTGAAAATCCTTTCTCCTGTTTCTGAAACATATACAGATTATCTATAGTTTATTCCCACATCGCTGAAGCTTATTAATCTTTAGAATAATGAGTTAAAATTATAATTTCACATTTCTGTGCAAAATTACTAATTCAGTGGCTGACACCCTGCTAAAGTATTAACAGCAACCACTTGTGCAGAGCTCTGTTTCAGTTACTGTTTTCATTGCATGCTACTCCATGTAATTCTAACACGCACCCCTGAGGTACATACAACCGCGAGTTCTGGGGAGCTGGGCCAGGGAGGCCTAAGGAATTTCCTTGTGCCTACAAAGCTACTTAGCAACAGTTCCGGGCTGTGAATGCAAGAAGCCCAGCTCAAGAGCTCTGTTCTTGTATTAAACATTATTTGACGCTAGAGTGGAAACATGCTACTCTTCTGGACAATGTCCTTCCTCCTTAGGCTCAGAATTGGTCGAGAAGGCAAAAGCCCTCCTGAACTGCCTGGACTGCTTCTCTCGACTCCCGCACCGTTCTTACAATGACAGGGCTGCAGCCAGTATCCACTGGGAAGACGTCTACACACTGCCCTCCCTCTCTCCACTGGACCTCTAGGACTGACGTCCACGACATTTGGATAAAATGAAAACCACAACAGCCAGCTGCAAGCACAAGTGTTCAGTGGGAAAGCGTGGCAAAGATTCACACAATTCCACTGGAAGATGTGCGTCTCAAAGCTCTTCCAGAGTAGACTGCTCCATATATAACACATCTAGAAGCAGATTCACTAAGGACATTCCACGTGTTCTCAACTATTAAGGAAAAAAAAAAAAAAGAAAAAGAAACTTTCCAAGCAATACTCATACATTACCTCATTCCAGATTATCTTTATACCAAAATTCTTTTGGTACAAAGGCTTCATTTGTTAAATCTTTTTGTCTATTAAACGGGTCATATTGCTAAGAGTTGATGTACCTCAATGTAATCAAATACCTAAGTAACTGCCAATGAGAAGCTTAGTAGTAACAACCAGAGATACCACACAGCATCTTATAATTCAACCAAAAAGGCTAGAAACTAAACATTTCTAAGTCCCACGAAAGGTTACACAACAGATTGCACAGTTCCCATCATGTTGCAAGGTTATTTCTTTGCTTTGTTTTATGTGGCTAATAGCCCACACCTACCACACAGTGAGCCTCAGGAATTCCACAAATGTTTGTGTTCTAGTATGGACAGTACAGTTCTGCTCATTTTGAAAAGATAACTAGGTCTCAGAGACCCAATGTTAAACATAGGAAAATCTTCAATGTAAAGAATGCCTACTATTAAACAGAGTGAGTCCCAGTAGTGAATATGATCAATAATATACAACAAATGAGCCACACTATTAATTGTGGGCAATGTTAAATACGCGAATTCCAGAGTCCACACCATTCCATGTTCTAGCTTAAGACCTGAGGCTCAACCTACTGTCTTGGTGGCTCGTAGTTGCCTTCTGGGAGCCTAGAGTCACAGAGGCATGGACCTTATCACAGGCCAACTCAGAAATATAGATATGAGACAAAAGCCTCATGTCCTGAGGGAACAGGGAACAATACACAAAGCCTGAGGAGAACCGTGGTCTCTCTTGTGAATTCTGGACAGCTGGGATCTAAGGCCGCAGATAACATCTTCTCCTGCTTGTTGCTTTATCCCTTGCTTGGGATGTCAATGGCTAGCACTGTGTAAAGTGAGAGTTAGGTAAGTGCTCAAGTCGACAGAGAGAGTAGTCTGTGTTCACCAAAGTAAGTATGCACATTCCTTAGCCTGCTTTTAGCCCTCAATAAATGTGAGACGTTTCTGTGACTCTGGGCTCACTTAGAGACTAGTCTCAGTGAGACCTTTCGAGCTGTATTCATTGGGTCTTCTCGTTTTTCTTTTAGTTCCAACGCGTAACATACAACAAATTCGTGACTGAGAGACCTCCTGACTCCCGCAGGGTTGCCCCAGATGGCGTCACCAGGAGCCACCACAGACAGCACACTGAGCAGGCGCAAGGCACGTGCCACACGGACAGGGCTCTCAGGGTCTAAGCCATCATCAGTTCACTCTGGAAATAGTGGCCGTCCTACAATGTCCGTGCAATGATGTCCATGCACTATAGCACCACATATGAGAGCCCAAGTCCAGCCAACTGCCAAAGAGAGAAGAGTAAAGGACGCCACCAAATCAGTAGGTATCTTTTTAAAAAAATTCATTAAAATGCAAAATAATCAGGATATGGTGCTGAAATATAATACGCATAATGTGAACTTGGTAGATGGCACATTCATGTGGCTACAAAAATTAAAACATGTATGTTTATATATCTCCATTTCATTTTCTTACACAAAGGTAGTATGTCCTATTCATTATTCCGCATTCCTTTCTTCATTTATAAATCCTAGAGTTCTTATGTCAGCACATTTAAACAGCCATAAGGTATTATAGTGAATAAAACATGTAGTATTTCATCAGTGCCCTCTAATAGATCTTTGACTTATTTCTAGTATTTTCATACTATATACAGAAAAAACATATGTAACCAACATACACTCCTTGGTTTTTCTGAACTGATCCGACCTTCTTAGGCCAGTTTCTGCTCTCTGCAGAATGCAGCTATTTCTGCACTGCAAATGCACAGCACCAACAGGAAAGGGTCACATCACCCAGAGCTTTGTGGGGCTGATGTCACAGCCAGGGTCCCCCGGGGGCTCAGACCTCTCAGCACCTTCCTTCTCCATCCACCTGGGCTGCCCTGAACTTCAGCAGCACAGAGCAGAGCCCTGGGAGGAGGGGACACAGTGGGTGACAGGTAGAACTGGTGTGGCCTCTGGGCCTTCACTTTCTCAGGCTTGTTCTGTTTCTGTGCTCTGTCGCATGTGGTTGATTCTTGGAAGAGGCTCAAAGTCAAACCGGCCCCTACTGGTTGAGGCTGCGCTAGGGGCAGGGAGGGTGTTAGAAGGGAAAGCGAGGGCAGTTAAACCACAGCCAACCTGGTTCACTTTCAAAAGGTCACAGCTAATGAAAGCAAAGGAAATACCTATTTTCATATAAGTGCGACCACCATCAACCTCCCCCCACCCCTGCAGGTTGCTGGGAGCCCTGCATGGGACACAGGAAATGCATTAGCTGCAGTGGGAGTTGGGGACCTGGTGGCTAGGACTGTGTAGATGCGGTGCCTTCTGTCATTTGTCCCAACCCTGTGCTGGAGGAAGGGTCTACAGCCCATGATTATCCAGAACATTCCACCAAGAGTCTGTTCCTACTGAGGTATTAGATTGCAGATATAGGTACCTTTTGTCTTAATTTTCTCAATATAGACAGAGTGGCACATGACTCGTGTTCACTACGATAGGTAGCCAGTCCTCCTGGCATCCAGGGCTGGCTTAGAAATGGCTTTCTGAACACAGAGGAGGAAGTACACAATTGCAACGTGCCATGAAGTCAGACAGTGAACACATAAAGTGGTTATCTCTGTGCTCCTTATGTGGTCAACACTGGACAGCTTGAACCCAGGGTCCCGGTCTCCCACTCTGCACCAGGTGTGGGCAGCATGTGTGTGGGATATTAGCCTTTTATGCTTCCACTGGTGAACAGGCCTTATCTAACTGACCCAAGTCATGCATTTACTAGATGTTACTGTCCTCTATTAAGCTTTGTTCAAATTGACTCAAATTATTTTGACTTGGTGGAGGAACTTCCTAGGGCTTTAACACACTGTGCATTTGGAGTGCCCCACAGGCATTACCCTGAGGCCCTGACCAGAAGCAGCGGAGGTGCTCAGGCCTCAGCCCCAATCCGACCTGGAAGAGTTGTTTCCCCACCTCTGCACCATAACAATCTTGCCCTGGTCAGACCCCAGCCTCCCGACGCTTCCCAGCCCCGGTGCTGAGGTCCAGCCACTCGGAGCACAGGCATAGCTGGGAATGGGATCTGCACAAATGCCCAGGATCCTCCCATACCGGCAGTTGCACGATTCACCAAAGTAAGTTTTACTTAAATAACAAGATGACTGGAGAGGAAGAACTAATGGATCTACCGCTTTTGTGAGAGCAGCGAGGTGAATATTCACTTATAAATAACACCTCTTGACATTATTCAATTTATTTAAATTCAAACTAGCTAAATAAGATGGAGAATAGATAGCAATGACTTTATAGTCCTTCAGCAGATTCCAAGTAAGAGGAGGCAGAATACTTAAAACCCTACCTCAAGAGAAAAAGATGATGAATACATGAAGTATGAAGGTACTGCCTGTCTCAACCCCTCCTCACCCACCCTTGTAACTCAAATACTACAGACTAAATACCAAATCAACAAAGAAAAACATAGCCAGCCTCTTTGATATGTTGGATTTTATTTTTTTTTTAATTATACAAAGAGCACGTGTGCATGAGTTAAAAAATACAAGGGAAATGTAGGGTGTTAAAAAAGAAATACAAAAGAAATCTGAAACATGAAACCAAAACATTCCATTCTGTGAAATGAAATAAAAAGCTATTCCACCGGCTAAAAAAGTGTTATTTCAATATATTACGAAGTCTTTTGATTCAGATACAGCACAAGACTTTCCTTCAGTTACTCCTTGAGAGATGTGACTGCGTCTCACTGGACAGAGGAACGCTAAGACAGGCAGGCGGCTGAGTGGTTCACAGGGGGCAATGTCCACGAGGTATCACCATAAATAAATCCTTAATTGGCTCTTCCACAAAGTCACCGTGTCAGCTTGCAAGGAGACCCATCCCACCTTGTCTCTCAGATGGCTTTCAGCAGGGGCTCTTCCCACTTAGAAAAAGAGGGAAGACACAGTGTTGACAGGCAAAGCCATGCTGCCTTACATTTTCATGTGTAGCTTAGCAGACGCACAAAGGACATTAGTGTGGCCACACGGGATTTTGTTTTTAAGCATTTTAGAATAAATTCAACTATCCAGGTGCCACATTTTTCTTCCTGTCTACACTGCTGCTGTGGAAAGAAGGAGCTGAGGCATGCTGGGATCACCCACGTAGGCATAGCACTCAACAGCCACGACCCTGGATGTCCCTGCCACGCGGCTCACCCCCGTGCCAGCTTTACCAGACTCATACTCCACCCACTACCTTTTTTGCTTACGGTAAAATAATTGAGAAGAGCTGCTGCTGCTTTGACATCTGGGTGTTTAGTTTCATAGTATCTGTAAAGTTGAAACGATTTTTCTTTGGTGGTCTGAGTGGTTTCACACCCACCATTCTACCATAAGCTTCTGATGAAGTGTTGGGAGCCTCTTGAGAAGCCCACTGTGCCCCTGGTGCCACACTGGGAGGAGCAGAGCCCGATTCCTACACGTAGCACCCTGTGTTAGTTATGCTTGCTTGCCTGCCTTCGGGGACACAGAGTAGCAGCGGTCCCACATCTCCTGGGACTGCTGTCCTCACAGCACCAACTGGTTAATGTTTCAAATCGAAACAGTGGCTGCCTGCAGGCATTCCGACTAAGCTAACAATATGTACTTTTCCTTATTCTTTGTAGATTTGGGACTCTGAAGTATTTTTTAGATCCTACTGATGTTACTTTTCTATAGAAAAAAATTGTAAGAAATCTGAAACTAACAACATGTGCCAATTCAATCTGTCATTACGACACTTCTGGCCATGTTCCTGCACTCATTCTTGAAGTTTACTGTCCGTCTGCTCAGAGGAGATGCTCCTTTTCTAGCTACAGGGTTGATTTCATTATCACTTACTTTTGTGAAGCTGAAGTCAGAGCTCCAGAAGTGCTTTCTCACTGTCCCGTTTCTCCTCAGCTTCTTCTTCGGATCCTGTGTGGTGGGAAAAAAGGGAAGCATGGGTCTCTTTCCAGCACTGGCACAAGCTGCTGCGCTATAATACACACGTGTGCAATTTTACACGAAAGTGTGTCTGTTCAATATTCAATAGATTTAATCAACCTCTTAATATGCTACTTATTTCTTGTCAGAGGAAAACTTTTAACATATTATCAGTTGTACTAGCTTGGCCAAATGGATTTCACTTACGTACTACTTAAATACTCATTTAACATGAATTATTTTTGCCTTCCTCAGCCTCTCTGCTGACAGCTTGTATTTTTAAGCCCAAATGATGAGCTCTTGCACAACAGATTTAATCCCTGCACTGAGAGCAGCTAAGAAGGCAGAGTCCGATGCTCACCCTCGGGCTGTGGCCCAGGACACCCACCTGCCGTTCTTCATCAGGGTCTCAGAAGCCCTGCGTTGCCCTTCCACTTCCAGTCACCAAACAAACATTCTGCTCTAGAAATCTCCCCTCACAACCATCCCTGAGAAAATACTACTTCTCATCTGTTATGTATGTTTTCCTCAGTAACGATTAGAAAATAAAGCTTCTATAAGTACCTGAGACCGTAAGAAAGGCTAAATAAGTACATTCCCATGGAATATCTTACATCCCTATAAAATTACAGTCATATTAGTATACAACAACATGGAAAATGCATTTGCACTAGAGCAAACTAAACATTAAATAAAGAAACAAATCTTTGTGTATCAAGATTATCTTTGACAGAAGAAGAAAGCAAACACACATGTGCAACAAGAAAGCACAAAAGATAATAATCACAAGATTTATACTTTTTTGTGAATGTTACAAAATGTTTGCAAGGAACCTATGGTGACTTACTAAGTTTTAAATTCCAGCTTTAAAGTCAGGGCATAAGTAATGTAGACAGTAAAGACAAGTGGCACAAATTACACATCCTAGACAAAGTAAGTTAAATTTTGAATGCCAATACTGATGAATACTTTGAAGGGCAAGCTTGTAATTTTGCTCATTCCCTATTTTCATAAAAGCACACATGGTTTTCCAAGTCAGCATAAAGAAAGAAGAAGGGGAATGAAAATGGAAGTAGACTACACCCAAAGGAGCAGCCAACCTCCGCCGCTGCTTCCCCCTGCCTGGCGCTGCTAAGAGCGCCCTGGGTGACAGCCGTGACCAACTGGGGATAGCGGCTGGTCAGAGCTGAAGATTGTGCCCCACACATTAATCTCTTGTGACACAGCTCAAGTGAAACTGCAGGTAAAAGAAATAGATGAAGGTAGAATGATTGGGCTGCTTTGTTTCCAGCCACTGAAGTGCCCAAATGATGGAAATGCAGGGTGGCTTGGCTGCTCACAGTATCTGACAGGCTGTGGGGAAGATGGCCGGGCCAAGCCTTCACCTCCAGGCTCACTGACCAGTGGGGCTGTAAGCATCAGTCACAAGGAGAAGTGTGTCTTGGGGTTACCGGGGAATGTAAATACAGCTATATCCTGAATGAAAACATAACTACAGGTACTGTCTACATATTTTAAAGAGACCTCTGGGTGTAGTCTAGTAAGGTGGTCAATAGGTCAATAAAACTTCTCCATGAGAGGCACTTCTACAAGTTGGGAAAGAGGACAACAGTAAGCATTTTAATCCTCCAGAATGACCCAATGCATACAATAACTGCAGACATGCTTAAATTTGAAAACACTGCAAAATTTAGGCAACAATAGGGTTACTGCTGCCGAAGCTGCCTCTTCCTTCCCCACCACCCACCAGCCCGCTCACAGGAGGCCCAGCAACACAGGTACTAGCTGAAGGACGCTCTCTCTGAAGCTGGAGCCGCACTCCTAGGCTATTGCTCTGCCGCCTAAGGTATTCATAGCTACAGCAAGCAGACGCCTGGCTGAATTCACTCTCCTATGCAAGGGAGAGACCCAAGAGAGCTCCAGCCGATCCTACATTCTGCTGTACATACACAGACACAGCGATCATATGAAAGGTCTCAGCAGAAAGTAGAAGCTGCAGAAAACTTGAAAATACCCTAATCTTGAAAGATAACACCCAAATCAGGTACATTTCCTCTTAGCAGGAAACACAAATCCTAATCCAGGAGTTTGAGTGTGGCCTCTGTTCAGACCTGGCTACCACTAATCTGTTACACAGGGCACTCCTGGAAAACTTGTCATTAAAAGAAAATGAAGATTTAAGAAGAAAAAAATTGACGACAAGAAAGTAGCCATATTAGTTGAGGGATATAATTTCATCGATAATTTATTAAACCAACTAATAGCAAGCCTCTTAAGATACCAAGAATTAGAGTTGCTACATATATTTTCCAACAAAATACTTTCAGAAAATCTAAGACATGTGCAATCAGAAAAATGTGATCATCCTAAGGGAGAAAAAAAAATCAAACAATCTCTGCATGTCTCCACAAACTTTATTTACCAAGGAAGAACATCAAAAAACTGGTTATAAATATCACCCTAAAACTATAGAAAATTTAAAAACTAAAGGAAAACATGACACAAATAAATGCAGCTTCATAGGAAGGAAAAAATTACAATAAACCAAAAATTCAGACAAGAAAGCCTGGAGTGAAAAAGCTGAGCATTCTAAAGCATTTGCAAGAAAGAGTCACGTCAACACTGAGGAGGGCAGAGGCACCTGTGCCCTCGAAGACTGCTAGGAATAACGCAACCTGACACACGCAGCGGGAGCAACAAAGCCTGAACGCAAAGTGAACAGAGTTCAAAGAGCTGCGAGCCAGCCTAGCAGACTGACACATGCGCACTGGGAGTGACAGAGAAAAAAACTATCAGTGAAATGGCCAAAGAGTGAAGAACCCAAATTTCCCAAGTCTTTGAATTTTTGAGATATCTCAATCTATACAATTCGTGTAAAAAGAACAGGAGGATGCCCAAGTACATCGTCGTCAGCTGCTGAAAACTGAGGGATGCATGAAGATGAAGCCACAGCATGCCAAAATTGATGAGCTGCCATTAAAACATTGTCACGGGAAATACAAGAGCTTTATCAGAGCAAAAGATTGCACACCAACTATGTAAAAAAAATCTATTTTTGAAAAGTAGAGTCAGCAAAACCCAATCTACAGTAAACCAAGAAAATCATAAAATTTGAAACAGGCCCATTTGTGGCCAACAGGTATTTAACAAATGTGCCAGGCCAGCTCAGTGGGGAGGCACTGTCTTTCAACTACAGCTGCTGGAACAACCAAGAATCCAAAAGCAAGAGAACGAAGTCAGTTCCTACCTCGCTGGCACATGAAATTAATTCAATATATACCATGAACTTAAAGAAAAAGTATAAAACGTTGTAGACAAAATCACAGGAGAAAACTGTAATGCTATAGTTTAGATATGGCCTCATATACCATCTCTAAAAGAATGAATTCATTAACTAGATTGAATAAACATTGAAAGCCTGTGTTTCAGAAGATCATATATAGAAATGCAAAGGAACTACAAACCGGGGCAAGTGTCGGCAAATCATACAACTGATGCAGAAGTTTCTACAGTGCACACAGTTATTATGATTGAATAAGAAGGCAAGGCAGACAAATGGGGAGGACCTTCAAACTTCTCTGCAAAGATGATTTATGAATAGCATGCAAGACAGACATGGAAATGATGCCTATTGTGAGATGTCCTGTCAGAGGGGCTGTACTCAGAAAGACAGCTGCGAGTGCTGGTGAGGCCAGGATCAGGCGAAAGCCTACTGACGTCACAGGAGGAACTACAAGAGGACAGGCATTTTTCAAAGAACAGCTTAGCATTTTTTTTTTTTTTTAAAGTTTAAGAGAAACTTATATGATGCAGCAAACCTTCTCTAAGAAACCTAACTCAGGAAAAATAAAAATACAGATCCAAAAAATATATGACAATGCTCACAGGCTCGGTTACTCATTTTTTTTTTTTTTTTTTTTTGGAACCAGGGATTGAACTCAGGACCTTGCACTTGCCAGCCAAGCACTTATTCTACTGAGACATCTCTCCGGCCCTAGGCTCAGTTACTTGTAACAATTAAAAGCTACAAACAATTCCAGTGTCCAAATACTGGCAGCTATCAGTGTTGTGTGTGCATGGAGAAAAAGCACCCACAGAGAGAAGGGAGCAAGCTTCTACCATGTGCTGCACACCAACCTTCAAGCAAAGGAAGCCGAGCACAAAAAAATTAATACAAAATGTCCAGAAAATGTACATTTGTAAAGACAGAAAGCAAATTAGATTAACTAAGTAGACTTTAAAATACCTGTTACTGACTAACTCTGGTAGTTGGCAACTAATTCTCAAAATCTGAAACAAAGGGTGTAAAAATATCCTGTTTTAAATCTATTGTTTTAAAAAAGTGATCACATGATTACTCATCTCATCAAACAATGGTTCCATAAAATTTCCGTAAATAACAGAAACGAGCAGGCCAGACACAGGCAGACAGCAGGCGCATCACTCCGGAGGGCAGAGCGCCGAGCTGCTGCTCCACAGTCCGGCTCTTCTGGCGTCAGCCAGGCGCTCCCCAGCGAGAAGGCGAGGCGCTGCCCTGTGCTTGCCGCACACTGGATCCTGTCCGCTTCTGAGCACACAGGAGTGTCCCTTCAGTCGCCCAAAGAACCGCGCTTCCTTTTGCTGCCATTTCGCACCCAGGCTTACGGGGCGCCAGAAGGCCCATACGCAGCCTACAACACACGCCTTTACAGCGCCAACCATAATCTGCTAATACGTGCTCACTTCCTAACTTCTCAAAGGTCAGCACTGAGGGGAAAATGCCAACATTTTTACTTCTTATTTGATTTAACTATTTATTTTATCTTATTCATTCTTTCTTTGTTCCTTACCCTTCAGGAGTTCTAAATCCACTGAGCAAGGTGTATGTGGCACTGGGGAAACAAGCAGGGAAAAGCAGGCGAGGCCTGGCAGATGCCCACAGGGCCAGACAGAGCCGGATCAGGGCAAAGGCAGTCCACAACTCCAGCTACCGAAGGCGGGCATTCAGCTGCCTGGCATAACAAGAAATGTACGCTCTACAGGAGAGTCCTCTGGTCTAGACGCATGAATCCAGCAATAATTTTCAATTTTTAATTCTAAGCAGCTGAAAGTTCAGATATGCAAACACAGTATACAACAAAGCAGCGCTCTGAGTAGTCCTCTGCCCACCCTGCCAGTCTGCTCAGGCAAGGCTGCCACCCAGTGGAACACCAGGACAGCGTCTTGTTCTGCGCACCCAAATGAGATGGTGATGCCCCGGAGGACCACTAGGTGGCGGCAAACACCACAGACAAGGAAGCCCAGGGCTGCAGGAAGAGAAAGCTTGATGGAGGACTGCTTTGGGTGAAACTCCCCATGTTATCATTAATTAGCCTGCTGACCTGAGCTTCTAATTAAGAACGCTGAGTATTACCGAGAAACTGTATCTCACACACACAAACACACACACACACACACACACACAGAGATAAACAGTGGATTAGTCTTGGAAAGTCAAAAAATTACGAGCTAAATTTTGAAGCTTTTTCTTTTTAAAAAACGACCGCTATGGCATTTAAATAAAGTTAGAGTTAGCAGGAAGGTTAGCACATCACCTAATTTCTACTGTCTGAGAAATAGATTTCCTGGCAATCCACACCCATGCTCCACAGGGCCTGCGGCTTTACATTTCAGGCTCCTCACGGATGTCCAAGATAGGAGCTCCGTCGAGTTCCTCTAACACAGGTATTTCAGTGATGTGCCCTCCATCACTCTCAGGGCTCTTTCTCCCTGGATTCCATTTTATGATACCATGTGTTTAAAATTCTCCCTAGGTGTAGTCATCGGCATACAATGACACAGCCTCTAACCCAAGGTGACATCCCAGTGGTACAAACAGACCTGGTCTCTGCTGAAGGTAATGGGTGGCACAGGATGCCAGTGCTATGGAAAAGGTCCTCAAGTACCAAAAACCCCTCCGAGGGTGTCAGTCTAACAACCTGGCAATGTGGCACACAGATGCAAAATAAAGACAGAGAGAGAAAGTTCTGCACTGGAGGAGTGCTGGGATCAACAATGTTCTCCGTGGAGCTAAAGGCCAGAGATCCAAAACCTCATGCTATTATTGGTATCCATCAGGGAGGTGGGTGGGGATCCTGGCAGAGCACAAGCGAAGAAAATCTTTGTACACACTAGCTGTAAGGAGAAACAGAGGCTCTCCAATTCTCCAATCAGCAATACAACAGCAGCCTGACGTACTCGAGGCTGGCACCTTTACTGCCAGGAAAGTGTAATTCTGATTACTCAGCTGAGAAGTTACCTCATGTCTTAGTCCTGGAATCTCACAGGCTCTTGCTCAAGTTCCCATGTGGGTTGGGGGGATGGATGAACAGACTCTCACCCTTGTGCTGCAATGGGACAGGCTGGCTTCTCAGAGGACTCAGTAGCATTCTTTTAGCCAATCAAGGGAACATGTGTTTCAGTAGAGCCAGCTCTGCATGTATCAGTGAACAGGGCTGAAGCAAAAGCAGGGGAAGACTGAGGCAAGGGGCTTCGCTTCTCAGGAGAGCACAGTTTGGCAGTCTCCCACACCCAGACCATGCCAGGGCAGCCATAAAGATGGCCAAGAGGGATGCATGCATAGCCAGGGTGTAGGGCAGCAGCCTTCAAAACACAGGACTGGACGGGGTATTCAGAACAGGAACAGCCACAGGGGCCAGGGAGATAGCTCAGTAGAATGAGTGCTTGCCTGGCAAGCACAAGGGCTTGAGTTCAATCCCCAGTTCTGCAAAAAAAACAAACAAACAAACAAACAAAAAAAAAAACCACTACTGGAACAGTCAAATACAAAGCAGCGGAAGGCTTGGGGCACAGCCTTTTCAGAGCAACTAGGAGTATGACACAAGGCAGCCACATGGAAGGGGACAAATGGCCAGTGGAGTCACAGAGGCATGTTCTGCCAGGCTGAGGCTGTTTATTTCTGAGCTCTTCATGTCATGGGAGGCCCTTGGGTGGGGGATGACATGATCCATTGTGCATTTTCATAAATAGTGGCAAAGCCTGTGAGACCTCAGCAGCTGTGACAGCTGTGATGGGGCTGCCACACCGCAGCCAAGCTCCAGTGGAGCTCCACCTGAGCCTGTGAGGGCTCCTGTTCTCTCTGCCTCTGCCTCCTCGGGTCCACACTGTGAATCTCACAATCAGGTTCACAAGGACGCACCGCCACATCTTCCTGAGCCTGCCTGTACACTGGATGGCACTCGGTAACGGCATTTGCTGTCATCAGATCACATCTGTAAAGACACTCAGCTGCGAGGGCTTCCAGAACCGCCTCAGACAGTGGTAGAAATGATGGGAGGGCAAACGCACTGTAGTGCAGGGGAACATTCTGAGGGGCACTCCGGCAGTGTGCCTTTTACTTTAATAAATTTTAATTTAAGCAGATAAGTACACGTGATATATTTCGATCACGCCCTGGATCTTCATAACCCAGTACATGAAATGTTAGAAACAGAAGAGAGAGGGCGAGGGAGGAAGTGTAGGGGTTTAAATGACAAACAACACAAATGCTAACCACAATGTTTACCTGCTTCAGACTCAGGAGGGGAATAAAACTGGCCATCTGAAAGACCCGCAGGGATGAGTGCAGCCCTCTCTGAGGCGTCCTGAACAAACAGGAGTCCTGGAAGAGAAGAATTACAGTGACTCAGTTCCTACTACATCTCCTCATAAGAGTAAGTACAATATGATACTGTTAGTTTAAAGAAAGTCTAAGAAGAAGAAAAAAAAAAAAAGCAGACCAAATATCTTTCAACCAAAAAACAAAAGGATCCATTAACAATCCACTACAATAATTTAGTAGTTTAAAAATTGCTACATGAGGGGCCGGGGAGATAGCTCAGTAGAGTAAGCACTTGCCTGGCAAGTGCAAGGACCTGAGTTCAATCTCCAGTTCCACAAGAAAAAAAATAAAAAATAAAAATAAAGAAAAAATGCTACATGTTATCGTGAGGATTCATAAACTTAGTATTTATAGCATCTTTCCCTTGGGAATTTCCTTCACCTACAAATATCAACATCAAACTCAAAACTGAAACACAAGGTGAAATAAAACTCCACCTCAGGGCCGGTGAGCTAGCTCAGCAGACTAAGGCCTGCTTCGGCAAGCACAGGCACCAGGGTTTGATCCCTGGTTCCACATGCTAGCTGGCCCCACCCTGGCGCATGCTGAGCCAGAGAAGAAGTTCAGGAGTGGTGGCGCACGCCTGCAATCCCAGCACTGGGGAGGCTGAAAACGGAGGACCACTATGAGTTGGAGCTGTATAGTGAGACCCTGTACCAAATACATAATGAAAACAAAACAACTACAGCTCATATAAAAAGTGGCCAGTCAGCTTTTGGTTGAAGAAATGCCACATGCCATGGAATACCTAAGCGGCCATTATAAATACATACAGAACAAAGAAGGTGATAAAGAAATATTTACATTAAAAAAACGAAAAAGCTGAAAGAGGGAAATCCCAGGATCTCACACCGTATCGGCAAGGCCATCGGCACTACGCCACTGGCCAAAGGCTGGTTTCAGCCAGGCTACCATCCGAAGAAGTGCAGACCAGAGAGCAGAGGACAGGCGGTGCGTCAGCTACTGCTGGCACCAGGCAGTGCTGTTTGCGAGATTTTCATGAGTTGTGCTCTGATGCTGACCACTGTTTAATCAAACAACCACTAGACTCTTAGTCACACTAACAGCTGATAGGCCACGGCTAAAGTTCAGCCTGCTGATCGGGCACAGTAAAAGGACTTCCATTACCTTTACCCGTACCGTTTCCACATTATGCTTCTATCAAGGAAAGAGGTACAGGGGAGTAGAAATGTTTTAGAACAATAATGTGTTTTTAAGATCTACTCTGAATTTTGCTTCTTTTTTTAAAATACAGATTTCTCTTCAGTAAAAGAGATTTTTGCAAAATAAAACTACATGCAAGAAACTTCTGGTCTCATTTTTTGTGAGGCCATAAACATGTTTAACTTCCCACAGGACACAAGACTTTGTCCCATGAGGCAGAGAAATAAGAGTCAGGCAATGGAAAGGGCACCGAGGTGACACTCCTGGGCACTGAACAGGCATCTGAGCTGAGCTGGGCTCGCTCACCTCTGCAGGAGGGGGCTGGGCCTGTGGCACCTACTAAGCACCATGAGAAGCTCAGCCCAAGAAGCAACCACACAGCTCCACCCATCATTTGGCTCTCCTGGTTGCATCCTGGGACAGCAGAGCCAAGAGGGGACGTGACGGCAGCCTTGGCAGAACTTGGTCCAGCTGTCACTCCACCACCCAGAAGAGGACAGCGGAGGGCTAAGAAAGCTGAGTGCTGCGCTGGCTAGGGCCTTACTCCTTCGGACTTCCAAGTCCAGCCGTTGGAAGGTAACTGATTACAGCCCTTCCCCAGCCCCTACCTGAGGTGTGCACAGCTATGACACTCTGCAAAACCACTACCTTGTATTTAAAACTGCTACTCTTCCTTCCTGAAAACGGGTCGCATTTTCTCTGCCTCTGTAACAGCAGTGCTGTGACACGCACCAAAGGCTTTGAGTCCTAAGAGGCTTAACAGTATCATCAGCACTCATCTCTGAAGGGAACTTTCTGTTCCTCACAAGCAGCATCCAGGCTTCTGCCCACAGGAGGAGGAGCTGCTTCCCCCGCTGTCCTCTCAACCTCTCATCCCTCCAGGCACTTCTCTCCTTGTGCCAGTGAGTGCCTCACTCTGCCCACCTGCAGCCGATCCCTCCCTCCGCTTGACACCTGGCCAGTCCTAGGAGGCCAGAAACTTACTGTTTTCCTCTTCTGCTTCTTGAGGTAAGACTTTGAAATCCAGGAACCAAGTCTCAATCCAGGCGAGGATGAATGAAATGATAGGCAGCACATAGCCAAATGCTCCTTGGGAGAAAAGCTGGAAAGCAGATGTGACAGAGAAGGAGGGTGGTCACTACCAGCTCACACTGGAAACTGAGGCGATGGTGCAAGCGACAGTGCAGGACCATACCTTTGAGAGGATCACTTTCGCTAGTAGAAAGGCACTGGTCACTGCTGTCGTCAACTGCAAGACACATAATGCACTTTCACTCAAATTAGATGTTCCCACTGTGAGGAGCCCTCCTGCACCCCGGGGACTGAAGGAGCCACAGTAGATGGTGTCTCAAGCACCTCTTCCAGCCTGGCTTTTCCCACTGCTCGGTCTCTGTCCCCGCTCAGACGGGGCGCTGTGATAGTCCTTCTCCACACTTTGGAAGCTAATGCGTTAGAACCTGTGCTTGATGCATCATGAGGTACAGGATGCTAACAGACTGAAGCGAGCGCACAGGGGAAGGGCCCACCGAGGGGTGAGGACAGGCTCTCCCTGGGGGTTAGAAAGCCCAAAGAGTCGTACAGGGCTAGTCCCTGTCACTCCCCGCTCCACTGGTATTTTAGCATGGCAAAACCTCGGCCAAGTGAATCTCAATCGCTGCCACGACTGACAGAGAACAGAGCGTGTAAGTATTAAGTAGACACAGGTACAAATACACACACACACACACACACACACACACACACACACACACACGGACTACTACTATCCTTCTCATTTTGATATATCTGAAGTACCTTAAATTTACATCAATTCACTGTCCGGGCTGACACTAAATGTTTGCAGGTATCAGGTGATTTCTTCCTAGACTTTCTCTGCAAGTGGCTCTAAAACAAATCAATAACCATACAATGGATCTGCCCCAACAGAGTTATCCTTCAGACAATCCGGACACAGACACGGAAGCTGTTTTCTTGTAATTCTCAGGGAAAGCTTGTATGTCACCCTCTGTTCTACAACAAGCACTGAGACAAGGCCTGACAGACGCCAATCTACATCACGGACACTGGAATAGAGTATCTGAAATGCAGGCCGCTGCAGAACCCTCGCAAGACGCGATCTTCAGCCAGTGTGATGTGGACAGAGAAGACTCAAGAAAGAGACACAAGCCCGCTCAGACTGTGGGCCAGGCCCTCAGAGCGACAGCTTCCAGAGTCACAGAGGGCAGGCCTCTGGGTGAGCGGGGGACGCTCTGCACACACAGCCCAGGCAGAAGCGGCCAGGTGGACGAGGTCTTCAGAGGGGAGCACAGCCCCATCCCTGAGGGACTCCGCGCCCAGGAGCTCCCCATTCCCTGTCCCACCCTGCATCTGCCACATGAGGGCTTTAGAGGGGCCCAACAGTCCAGGCAGACTGGCTGGTAAGCGTTTCAATCTCTTTGCGTTTACTGAGGATGAACATGGGTGCCCAGGCTCTGCGCTGCGTGCCAGAAAAGAGATGACTGGAGATATTGCTGCCCCGAACGAGCCAGGAAAGGAGGGAAGGAGACAGGTACAGGAGCACAGGAGTATCTACCCTGCAATCGGGGCAGGGCACTGATCATCACAGACTAAATCACAAACAAGTCACTGCACAGCATCAAGCAAACGGACTCTCAGGTCACTCTGTGACTGAGGTACGGCTCTCAGCTCTGCTCTGTGCAAGAAGCAGAGGCTGGGTGGCCGCCCAGCCCATCCTCTCCAAAGGGTTGCTCAACTCCTCATGAGGCCTAGTGTCCTGGAAACCAGGCAGCCAGTGGTTCGCGCGGGAGAGAAGCTGGGTGCCAGGCCTGAAGTGAGGGGCGAAGGGGGCCAGGCCGGGCTTGGCCCGCACTCCTCCCCACTCACCGCTATTGCCCACCAGTGGCGCAGTTTGCACACAGCGTACGCCAGGATCAGCACTTTGAACCGGAAGACTGCCAAGAGCTGAGGGAAGCAATACGAACACAAAGACAAGTTATTTCAAATACATTCAAAATAGAAGTGATTCAGCTTTCTGAGCTTGCCAGGCCATCTTCACATTCTGACTTGAGTGGACACAGCCTCCGACGGGGACTGGCGCCGAGGCCAGCACTGGGGTCCTGACCCAGAACCCAGCCTAAGCCACCCAAGCTGGGCTTCCCCCGAGTTCTCAGTGATGACCAGTGGAACACCACCAACATGAACAGGATTTTTCTCACAAAATCGTAAATGCAGGTGAATCCTCCTTGCTATAATTATGACATTTCTGTGAGTTCTATTTCAGCCACAAGTGTGTGCATGCGCACACACTCTCCACAGGGAACAGCTTTTCCCTTGGCCTTCCCTGAGGCCCTGCACAGCTTTCCTGATGACAGCACACAGTGCTCTGGGGCAGGGGCCTGCGCAGGATGGAGGACAAGTCGGAGACAGAGCAGCAAGGTGGGCACTGCAGGGACCAGCCTGTACCGAACCTGGGTCCTTTCAGAGGGCCTGTGCCTTCGGCTTTCAGGCTCCTCACATCTGAAGATAAGAAATTGAAAATACTTACGAATATGTCAAAGTAAGAAGAGTAGTAGTCATACTGCACCACCTCCTTCTCCAGCGTGTTCTCAATGCCTCCATTCACCTAGGAAAGAGGAAGCAGCAGAGGGGGACAGATTTACAGGGGAAAATAAAACAAGATTAAGGTTTCCTGCTTCCCTGCCTACCTCCTCCAAACCCAGGAGTGTTCAGATCTGGGAGAAAAGACCTTACTTTCAACAGAGAGGGGCTGAACAACATGTTTGACTTCTTCAGTTCTTTCACTCACTCATTCAATAGATGAATGTATGGTGGAAAATCATGCAGTTCATATTTTGGCACATTAACATGATACAAAAAATAAGATAGTTTTCACTTCTACAGATTTGTATATCTGCTCACTCACCATTTTATATTGCGCAAGGCCAGGGCTCCCTAATCCAAACCAAATATCTATGAGGGCAGCAGGCATGATGGAAGGACAGAAGTGGTTTGCTGTCTTTATATGCTAGTGGCATTTTAAAATTTTGCATGCTTATCAATTTAAATACAGGACTTGGATAAGAGCACTGGCAACAGACTAAACCCATGACTGATTATACACGACAAAATTACAATGAATGATAAGGCTCCAACTTGGTAAGACAGACTTTCTACTCTCTCCAGATTCTGTCAGCAAAGTGAATGTCAAATTGCCAAGTTCAAAACTACAAATAACATCACCGGAACTGTTGCTTTGTTTTTTAGTGCTATCAGGGATTAAACCCAGGACCCTTCCAAAGAGCTACACCTTCAGCTCCTTTTGAGACAGGGTCTCCCTAAGTTACTAAGCTGCCCAAGCTGGGCTCAAAGTTGGGACCCTCCTGCCTTAGCCACCCAGAGTGCAGGGTTTTTAGGTGACCACCACCGTGCCTAGCTGAGAATACTTCTTAAGAAATCAGGGCTAGCCAAATAGCTGAGCAGATTAAAATGTCTGCTTAGGCAGACACAGAGTCCTGGGTTCAATTCCTGCGACTGCCATCCGGGCCCACCCCTGGGGTGTGCTGAGATGGCGACTGAAACTAGGCATGGTGGTGTACGCCTGTAATCCTAGTGCTTGGGAGGCTGAAAACAGGAGGATCACTACGAGTCCCATCTACATAGTAAGACCCTGTAGACCCTGTACTAAATACACAAAAAGTAAAAGAAAAAGAAATAAAGAAATCAAGTTAGGGGACACATGGCAGCAAATGACGTAGCACCAGGCAGGCTGTCATCATGAGGGCCCATGGTCAGCCTGGCCACAGAGAACGAGATGTGTAACACTCCTTTCAAACTTCCAATTCTAACAGTTTTGGTAAACAAGTACAGACACTTTATAAAAAGAAAAGGCAGTGTGCAATTAATCAACTGAGTAAGAGTGAAAGAAATCAAAAAGAAATAGCTCTAGCAGGTTCCCTCAGCAGTCAAATGAGAATAAAAGTTATCATGACAGGATTTGGTTTATTATGAGAGTGAACGTGGTAAATGCTACTTCATGCCCTCAGTTCCTGAAGATTCTGATTTCCGTATCATTAGCAGGGACAGACCATAGATTCACCTTCCTGTACATCTTTATAAATGAATGGAACTAAAACACTGCGAACAGAGAAAGGTCATTCATTACTAAAAGCCAGCCAACCTTCTCTCAGTGCTGCGTCCTTCCAAACTAAAGACACTTCCTGGTAGTCAGGACACTGAAAGAATGTTTATCCCACATGGCCCCAGAAGCAAGGCTGTCACCCCCAGAGCCTCTTTCCCTCTGGAGTGTGATGGCCAATGCCACCAGGTCAGATTTGCCAGGAGAGAAAGTTTTCCTCTTGTATCTGAACACTCAAGGCTAACTGTGCACTGCCTTTTAGTGGAAATATTTAGAATACGTATCTGCAACCCTAACCTGTATTCTAAATTCATCTTTATCTAGCTCAAGGTATCTTAGACTGGTGATACTTCCACACAAAATCCCTTCCCATGCAAGTTCTTTCTTGTCCAAACTGAGTATCCGCATACAAACATCTGAAATCTGAAACTCCAAAATCCAAAACGTTTGGAACACAAACACAGCACCACAGGTAGAAACTTCCACAAGTGATATGTGGTAAGTCTTGACCCAACCACAAGGCCATTAAAAATATAGTACAAAATTCCTCTCAGGCTATGAATATAGAGTATATATGAACAAGTGAATTTTATGTTTAAGATTGGATCTCATCTCCAAGTGTATTATGTATTCAGGTAAGTAAAAAGAATTCCAAAACCTGCAGTACTCCTGGTCCTACACACACAGGGCTGAGGGATACCCGGCCCAGGCTGTTCCTCCAGACTCCACTATGAATTGGCACCTGGAAACGCCCTTCAATACTGGGGTGGGAGAAGTCTCCTATTTCTCAAGCTTTTGCTCTTCCTCCTCAGTGGGCCGCCTTCTTCTCCCTCACAGGATCCTTTTTTTTTTTTTTTTTTAAATGTACTTGGTATAGGGCCTCACTATGTAGCTTGAACTTTTACTGATCCTCCTGTTTTCAGCCTCCTCAGAGCTGGGGTTACAGGTGTGCACCAAAATGCAGTGGCCAGCTCAGTGTACACAGGAGTAGGGCCGGGGCGGGGCCAGTGTGGCATGTGGTGCTGGGATCGAACACCAGTCCCTGTGCTTGCCTAAGCAGGAACTTAGTCTGCTGAGCTATCTTGCCAGCCCCCAAGAAACCTTTACTAGCTTCTGAGTCAGGCTTTCACTGTCCTCAGCCCCTAATTTATTAATCCAGCTGCTCACTACTGCCACCAGTATCTCTACCCATTCACCAAACATCTGCCAGGCACCTCCTGAGCACCAGGCCTGGTTCTAAGTACAGGAAATACTTCAGCAAACAACACAATGTCTCTGTCTTCATGGGTCTGCATTCTGGCAAGGCAAGAGAGATGACAAATTGGGAAATAAGTATGACACAGAAAACAGAAGTAGGAAAGTGTGACAAAATAATGGTGACATTTAATCTTGACACCAGCATGATAGGGCACTAGAGCATACCAAAGGATAAAGGAAATTAACCAGGGAAGAACAGAGGAAGCTGCTAGGACAGAGGCCTCAATACAGACTGAGCCCACTCTACTCGCAGAGTGGGAGGAAGCCGGTGTGGCAGTAGTGAAATGGGCTGCTAGGGAGGAAGAAGCAGACAAGCTCTGCTGGGAAGTGAGCTTCCTGTGGCAACTAGAAGGTTAAAATTCCGTATTTTAAATTCTGCATGATACTTCTACTGGGCCCTACTTGCCTACACAATGATTAGGCAACATTACTGTACAATTCTCCATGCCGCTACGAAAACTTAATAAAATAAGAATGAATACTTTTGCAGAAAAAAAAAAAAAAAGCAAAATCTCTCAGGATTTAAAAAGTCAACGTAATGTAAAAAAAAAAAAAAAAAAAATCCAGAAGCATCACATATTTTTGTGTTTCTGAAAAATCCTAGGGAATAATTATTTTGGACTTTTGGAGTAAAAGGTCTTTCTCAACTACTCATCCAATTATTCAGCCTGAAGTGGTATGCACACACAGGAGCATGGTTGTGTTCCAATAAAACTTTGTAAGACAGGCCTATTGAATCTGTCTCTCAATCTATAGTCTTTCAACTCCTCAGGAACTCAAATTCCTGTAACGAAGACAAAGTGACCTTTAGATTTACCAGGTTTGCTGCAAGCAGTAACATTAGACTAACAAAGGTCTAAATCTGCTGGAGAAGGGCAATGTTACTTCCTTTTGAAAAAGGTATTATTCACTGAATGAAACAGAAGAAAAATTTTTTTAAAAAATTGTCTTTAAAAACATTTTTTATAAAGTTATAAAAAAGTCAACTTACATTTAACTCTATTATCCACAGTAATGTCACAAATAAGAGGTCAAAGGTAACAAACAAACAGAAAGTCCTCCTGACATCAGATATGCCTTTCTTCTCCCTTCCTTCATAGGACTCGATCCTGGCCATGAGCTGTGTGGGGTTGATGGAGTGGACGTCGCGCAGAGAGGCGCGGGAGCTCTGGCTCCCTGTGAGAATGCTCTCCATGACTTCCGGAAGGGGGTGAATCCCAGAGGAGGGTTAAAGGAGCCTCTCCCAATTCCACCATCCTAGAGCAGAGACCTGTGGGAAACAGAAGAGAAATAGCGGATACGTGAGAGCTTGCCTACCACAACCACAGCACCCTTAACCACTGTAGACTATGTGCAGGCGCGCAGCATTCGTGTCTTGATGAAGGCAGAGAAAGTGAAATGAAAAACGACAGTTGCTGTTCTCAATTTATACTATAGAGTAGAGTTTCAGAAAAGAATAGCAGTAAGAAGAAAGCAAATTTAAGATAGGGTGAAGCCAGGGTATTAAGCACAACTGAAAGGCATTCCTGATAACCTGGTGCCAAGCCCCTGGGTGGAAAAAAAAGAAAGAAAATAACTCAGTCCTAAGTGCTCTTACTCATGGACTAGGAGATGTACAGAGCATCTTCCCAGCACATGTACACAGAAGGTGTAAAGTAGCTGCAATAACCTGTTTCCTAATGAGGAGCCATTTTCTACCAAAATACGTAATAGGCTGAATTTAGCATCTCTTCGGAGCCTCTTTATAACCATATTTTTAAGCCTCTTCTTGAAAGTGTTTACAACCCGCAAGTGTTCACCCCCACTGCTGTGCAACAACGCAACTGATAACTGTGGAAGTTACAGTCTCACGTGAGATGCATGTTCCTGAAAGGCCAGGAGGTGACTACACTAAGAAAAAAGACCAGTGATCTTAAATGACCTGATTTTCTCCAAGATGGGACAAAATCACCAATAGAAATAGTGGATAGTGTGATGACCCCCCAGGATATTCCACCTTCCCTTCCTAAAGCAGGGCACTCACGTGCTTTACTGCAACCAAGCATGTGGGCACAAGGGATGTTACCACCATCCAGAAGTCTTTAAGGCCAGGGCATGGTTCAACATGTTCACCTTTCTTACCTCCACATGAGGGGGAATGGCCAGACAGAGAAGAATGTTTTCAAAGTGGGGAAAACAGAATTCAGAAACGGACTGCTGAGATTTTTTGAAAGAAAATGTTCTCGTTTAGTCTTACTCTAGGAGTTGTCCATCTCTATCCCTGACTTATTTCTCTCCCTTTCCACTTTAGGAATAGTCTTTTCCATACTTTATTATTATGGTGGTGAAATAATATATTTTTATTTTTATTTACTTATTGTATGTATTTAGTGCAGGGTCTACAGGGTCTCACTACACAGACTGGACTTGTACTGGTCCTCCTGTTTTCAGCCTCCCAAGTGCTGGGATTACAAGCACACACCACCATGCCCAGCCTCAATCACTATCTCAGTGCACCCTGGGGGCAGGGCCTACATGATGCACAGGAATCAAACCCCAGTCCCTGTGTCTGCCTAAGCAGGTGCTTTAATCTGCTGAGCTATCTGGCCGGTCCTATTGATATATTTTTTAAAGCAATCATTATGTGAACTAAGGCATTTTAAGATATTTATACCTCTTGATCTAGTAACAATACTTCTAGAAATTTAGAGGACATTAGCTAACCTATAGATGTGCAAGCAAACATTGATTATAGCACCAGAGGTGAGGTTAATGGTTACCTCGGAGAAAGTAAGAGGAAAAAGGAACTGGAAGCCACAAGTGGGCTTCAATTCAGGAGACTCGGGAAAGTTTTATTCCTTGACCTGAGCAGTGGGAACACGTCCTGCTTACCTAAGATAACTGACTGATGCAGGTAACTGGTGGTTTTATAAGATGTTGGCTGGTAAAAAGCTCAAAATGCTTTACCCTTTTAGAATTGTGAATTTGTGAATGTTGCCAAACAATTTACTTGATTTATGATTTTAGACTTCTAGTTACTAATGGAATAATAGACTGACTTAAAAATTGTTTGCATTCTCTTTGAGCAGTTTCTTTCCTTTTCACAATATCTAACAGGAGAAAAGAAAGAAAGAAGGGAAAAATATATAAATATACACAAGATAGCTAATTTCTATTGGCTTATTTAAAGGACTAGTTAATGCCTAATTTTTTATCAACTTTGCATGCCTGTATTTGGTAATCAGAACAACTATTTTGAACAATACACAATATAACAACCATTGTTCATTCCCTGTCATTTTGTTTTTAAAATCTGTATCATTTTTTATTTCTTTTTAAATTTCATTCTTTTGAAAATAAAAAAAAAATTAAAGAATTGTCTGCATTGCATTTTCTGAATATTTATTTTTTTAATTTAATTTATTTTAATTTTTGTATTTTTAGGGAAGGGTCTACAGGGTGTTCAGGGTCTCACTGCGCAGCGGGCCAGCCGGGCCTGGAGATCAAACCACCAGTCCTTGTGCCTGCTTGCAGGTGCTTTAACCCACAGAGCTATTTGGCCGGTTGCATTTTCTGAATAAAGAATGCATCACTGTAGAAATGTCTACGCTCATTCAGGTTCCATTCTAGAGAAGACATTTCATCTGTTTTAATTATGTAACACTGAAGCTTGAACCCAGGCTCCTAAACATTCTAGCAAGCACTCTACCACTGACCTACACCCTCATTCTTTTCATTTAAAATGCTTTACACTTGTGTACACACATAGTGTGTTACCTTTTGATGAAAATCCCCATTAACAAGACTTTTTCATAATTTACCTATAATATTTTCAATTGGAAAACCACCTAGATATCTAATGATGGGGGAAGGATTAGATAAATAACAGTACAGCAAGAGTAGACTGACTAAAATGAATGCTTAAGAAGTATTTACAAGGGCTTAGGAAAGTGTTTGGATTATAACTACATTAAAAATCTAGTATTAAATAGAATACATATATGCAGCACGTTACAACTCTAACATAAACTAAATGCATCGAATAATGTACCTATGAAATACATCAGATGTTAGCAATGACAATCCTCTAGCTCATGAAACTATTTTTCTTCTCCTTTCCATGTGTTTAAAATTTCTTATTTCATACATACTACATATAGATCAGTAGGAACTTGATGCAAGTGCCCTCTTGTTAGGGTCCTGAACAGATGTCCCTGGCATTCAATGAAGCCCTTCCCTTATTTTCTGGTCACTTACACTACTGCCTACCATGCTGAATTTTATATGCATTTCCTTGGCTGCCTCTTCTGCGGCCAGGGTACTCTCAGAAGACCGTGCATCTGGCCAGGGACTAGCACAGTGCAGGGCACACAGCAGGGGCAAAGCAAATTATTAACTGAGGTCCATCTAGCATTTTGCCCAAAGACTAGCACAGAGTAAGTAAGTTCTCAAAATAAATCTCTGCTAAACAGAGGAGAGTACAAGTGTTCAGTTCTGAAGGGAAGTTTGGACACTCTCCCCACATGTCATTGCAGAAGTACGGAACATTCAACCATGGTATGAAACATTCAGGTCCTCCTGGGAGTTGGCTTAAACAAGGCCAAGCCTCTCTAAGAACAGCACATATTGATTAGTTGCACCCATAGGAAGCTCAATCTACAATTCAGGATTCACTCCAACTATGGGAGAGAAGAAGTATAAAGAAAAACATTTGGTTAAGAAGATGAGAACTGTCTTCTTGACTTTAGTTTTTGAAAAGCTGCTTAACTGCTTAATGTCCCAGGGGAAGTATTCTTTGTACTAAAATAACCTGCTAGCTCTCCCACAATCATGTAGGGTTAACAAACTAATCAGAACTTGGTGGCTTACAGCCTACATTTGTTGTCAAGCTCACAGGTCTGCAAGTGGCTGGAAATTCACTAGCTCTAGATGTCACATAAGCAGTTCTGCTTCAGGCTGTGCTCAGCAAAGCCTGGCTTCAGGCTGTGTTGGTCCAGCTCTGCCCCATGGATCAGCCTCCTCGAGTCAGGGAGACCGAGGACATGTTCTTGTCCAGGCAAATGGCAAGAACACAAGCTAGACCACACAGACGCATTCAAAACCTCTGCATACGTTATGTCTGCTCACATTAACTTCACCAAAGCTAATCTCAGGGTGTATATGGGTGTACATTCCATGAAAGAGGAGGTGAACAGTGAGTATTTGCCAATGACCCTTCTAATCCAGCAGAGCTATACCAGGACCCTGCAACCTATCACCTACAAGTCAAATGTGGCTACTGCTATGAACACCAAGTTTTATTAAGATACTGCTACAATGTTATTTGTGCCCACAGGGATGACATGGCCATCTAGAGATGCTTTTATAGGAAGACATCAGGATGGAAGGAAAAGATGCAATAGAAGACATATGGTCCACAAAGCCTAAAATAGGTACTTCTGCTTTTATCAGCTTCTTCTTCCTAGATGAGTTCTGAAATTAAATGCTAATGTCAAGAACAAAAAATAGGTTAAATAGCTGATGAATATTACTGTTCTCAATGAATACTGATTTCGTGGTCAGCAAACTTTGTATTTTTCCACAGGTTGCTCCTGACATGCAAACCTTAGGCACAGGTGGACATGTCTAACATCACCCTCTCTGTGGCACTCCAGTAGCACCTGCAGAAGCACATAACTTTTTACTATGTGTGGTACTAGTTATGGAACCCAAGGGCACTGTACCATTGAGATATATCACAGTGTCCCTACCCTCCACTTTTTTTGCTCTTTGAGACAGGTCATACTAAGTCAAAACCCTATTTTGGCCACCTAGGCAGCTGGGATTACAGGTGTACACTGGCACGCCCAGCCACGCCAGTCTTTGCTGTGCTCTTTCCTTAGTCTCATACTATTGGCACAGGAGAAAACCGATCTTGTCTTGGCTGACAGATTACCCAGTGTGATCCTTACCAAGTGGGAGGACAATAAACTTGGACATTTTGCTCCTCTAGAGAAGGGCTCGCACCTTTGCTACTCCTTTACTGCACACTGCATCTGTCCCCAGGCTGTGTGCCAAGCCAAACCTCAGCTCCTCGCACATACACACAGAAGTGATAACAGCACACATGAACACAGCATTAGTACAGCCTTGTACACCACATATCAACATTGCAACAAAATGAACAGCTTCCTTACACAGATTCATGGTGTCAGGCACAGAGCTGAGAATGTAAGATGCAGTTAACCATTAAATCTCAGAACAGTTCCCTAAGTAGGACCTTGAGGAGGGAAAAGAAAAGAATTGGCACCT